AGAAAACAAACTAAATAAAAATAAAAAGAATATATATATATATATATATATATATATATTCACACAGAAAAGATTCACATGTATAAAACGGGATTTGAAATGTTACCAGCCAATAAATACAACATTGAGAGACCGGGCTTGACTCTTTCAACGAGCGTATTGGGCACTTGAAACCATCATTTTGATAACCGAAGGGCATAGAAAACGCGTAGAAACGTTTACATCCCTCTCCTGAGCTTTTTTCTCGTTTCACTCGGAGAAACCAATCTCTACTTCATTTGTTTTGTTATGTAACCACGCATTATATAACAAGTCCATGGTCTAGTCACCTTTCCGATGCAAACATTTAGCAAACCAAACTTACAGAAGATTAACCAAACGTACCAGGTTCCTGGAATGGAGGAGATTCAAGTTGGATTCCGGTTTTACCCAATCGAAGACGAGCTCATCTCGTTCTACCTGCGAAACAAGCTCGAGGGTCATTTAGTAGGCACCATGGCTCGTGTTATACCTGTCGTCGACGTGTTCGAACTCGAGCCTGATCAACTTCCACGTATGCAGTCCATGTCCTTCACCTCTCACTGAAAATGTATACATATATGTATATGTATATAGCTTGCAATGTTGGCCCTCCTTTGTTTGAGAATCCTGAAATGGGTATTCTCCATTGCAGCCCTGATTGAGTTTCCAAGCAATGTTGTGGTTTCAGCTAAAGACTTAACTGCCATGTCTGGGCCCTTCTCCTTTTGTGGTGTTTTTTGTGTTTTGGCAGAGCTTGCAGGAGAGAGGTGCCGAGGAGACAGAGAGCAGTGGTTTTTCTTTGTAAAGAGACAAGAGAGGGAAGCAAGGGGAGGTAGGCCGAGCAGGACTACAGCTTCAGGATACTGGAAAGCAACAGGGTCACCTGGCCCTGTCTTCTCGTCCGATAACCGAGTGATTGGGGTCAAGAAGACGATGGTCTTCTACACGGGAAGAGCACCTACAGGTAGAAAAACCAAATGGAAGATGAATGAGTACAAAGCGATTGATGGGATAGCCAACATGCCCACAATCCCTAAGGTGCATAATTAGTGTTGTACATACGGTATCTTGGCTTTGTAACGATTTTGCAAGTTTACAACTAACAACATTCGGCAAAAGAGTTGTACGGTTTGGTCGAGTTTTTGACAGGCTTGTTGCTTCTTGAGTGTAGTTGAGGCACGAATTCAGTCTGTGCCGTCTCTACGTAACATCAGGAAGCTCCCGTGCGTTTGATAGACGTCCTATGGAAGCTTATCAAATGGAAGGAATGCTTCTGAGCAACGGGGCTGAACCATCATCTCGGGCCAGGATGATGGGCGAGAGAGCAAGTTCATCAGAAACTTCATATTCAAGAGGAGATCATGCGGATCTTCCAGAGAATAATACTACACAAACCAACTCTGCCATGGTTGATGGCCTGACACAGCCTTTCTGGGAATGGGAACAGCTGAATTGGGCTTGACATGAGAATCTCGGCGACAATATCTTGTCAGAGCTACCCATGACATAGTAAAAGTATGGTCCATATCTGAATCTATATCAAATACTGAATTTAGTTGCCAATTTGAGTTTTGGTGATCAAGAAAGTTGAGAAAGCAATCTCCTAAGGGTCACACAGAATGAGTCAACAACCGAATAGTTCCAATTGCCTAAAGAAATAACCAAGTACTCAAAGGTGACCCTTTTTCCCTATATATATATCAAACAATCATAGAAAAACCTCCCTCCCCTTCCCGAATTAAGGGCCAATAGAAGGATCAATGCTCCTATTTCGCTCAACTACTTGTCAAAGCATATACCATTTCGGGTAGTTTAGATACCCGAAAAATTGCGTTTGCTCGTGCAAACTGATCTACCAAATGTACGATACGGAGAATCAGCCATGGAATCACAGAAACTCGATTCTCTCCAAATGCTAGATTAGAGCCAAAACCCCGATTCCAACACCACAGGTTTGATGGTTTCGACAAACTAAAATGAACGGAATTAGTCATCCACTCTCTTCGAAATGAAACATAATATGTGAAAAATATAACCGAAATCAATCAGCTAGGCATCGATTCCTACACAGTAAAAAAATACAAAAAAAAAACGAAAATCGAGAAATGGATTCAAGTGCTCTCTGTAAAATCGTCACGATCAATGTAGTAAATCTACGATTCGAATAAACGAAAGATTAAAAAAATCCGTTTTCTACGGCTAAAGCGCACCTGAGAGTACGAAAGCGACGTCGAAATCATCAAAGAGATACGTAAACGGTGATTGAAGATGATCTTCTTTCTTTTTCTTTTTTTTTGTTGAATGATTGAAGATGATCTTATTCAAGGAAGCGAGAAGAAGAAGAACAGAGGAATCTATGAGATCACCATCAGAAGAAGAAGAAGAAGAAGAGAGAATCGGAGTGCGGGAGAAAGAAGAAGGGTACAGCTTCCATGTTGGATTCAGTGGTGTACAAACTGTCTCTCTGCCGTAGTAACAGTTTATTTGTTCTCTATTGGGAATAAAGGCCCTCCCATTATGCCCAATTTGTAAAATCGCCTCCATATTTTATTTTGGTGCAATATTACGTCCTTGGTGATCTTTTTTTTTTTTAAATGCTTAGCTTACTCCAATCGAGGATCACTGCGAGAATAAACTCGTTCCAATCTTAAATTGTCCCCCCCGGTTGCCAATTTGATTAATAATTGAATAATCTATTATTGGATCCAAACTAAATATATATAACTGTAATGGATTCGAATTTTATATGAAAACGACTTATTATATTTTTTCTAAAAATAAAAAATACAAAACGCTAACACCAAATCGAATAAAAATTCTTTTTATTTTTTAAATTTTATAAAATGAATTTTTTACCAAGAAAATTATAACCAGATCGAAATAAAATCTGACCAAATCGAAAATGAATCCAATTCAATATAAAACCAAGTTGTTAAATTTTCTAAAATCAAAATAATCTGAACCGAAATTCAAAATTACAACCATAGTTTTTTATATGACCATTCCAAATTTAAGGTGTCAAAAGTTTTGTTTTCGCAAGCATTTTCTCTAGAAAATATGTAACACCCAATGTGGATCATATTTGTTATCAACTGAATAATCCCAATTGAACCGAATAAGACAAATATAATCGAACCGAATTCGACATAAAAAATGAATAATCATAGCCTTTTTAAATCTGAAGAGCCAAAATCAAAGTTAATCGAATAAAAAATAACCGAAACAACCATTTTTTATTTCTAAATTTATTTTAATAAACAAATCCGAACCAAACTAAAATAAAATTGTGTAAAAACTGAATAGTTATAGTTTTTTTATAATTGAAATAATTGAATCTGAATATAATTAAATCGAGCTCAAACCGAAATACAAGATGATCACCCCAATAACACCAATGTGCCATTGCCATCCATGTAGGGGCACCCACACACATATATATATAATATAAATATAGAGAGATACATAGAGAGAGAGACGAGAAATGGGAGGAAATAAATAATTTTTTATAATTTATTTAGAAAACACTCTAAAGTTGGATGATGGTTTCCTCGAATAACAAGAGAGAGAGCGGGAGGGAACGAGGGGGGGTACCAACAGATACAACAAGTGTAAGAAAGGCCAAAATTTCTTCTACCTTTGAACGCTCATATCATATCATATGCCTCCTCTCATCCTCAATCCTCTTTACGTTTCAAAAAGTCCCCACACGACAACGCCAGTGTTACAAAATTAAATAAATAACCCAAAAACAAAAGAGAAAGCTACATATATAAATACATATATATAGCAATGGAAAAGCTCACAACCAGAACCAGCGAGGAGAGAGAGTTAAGTTACCGTTGGGGGTTGGGTTTAAGCCATTTTGACTTTTCGTGAAGGAGGTCGGCGAAAGAAGCTTATCAAATCGTCCAGACCCTGTCATTACAAAACCCCATTCCAAAAAAAAACATTTTTAACTCATGATAGATTTATGTAAGTGCTTGTTATTATATTATCTGAGAACATATCTATAATAGAGAAGATATAGTAACATAAGGGAGGGAGGGTGATTAAGGAAAGTTAACCCGAGTTGTGAGGACGAGGAAACAGAAAAGCACTATCAAGTAAGATCCTAGCCCCAGCAGCAGCAACAAGTCGAATGTTACACTCGCCACCTGCAAACAAATCCACGGCTCTGTTTTTCACCACAAAAAAAAAAACCCCGCAATACCAAAAACCATATAGAGTTTATAAAGTTTATCAAGAGATATCCATTGAGCATAATCCCAAAACAGTGACTTAAGAACTAGAAGCTTTATTTCCAGGCAAACGTTTCTCGGTTATTCTCTCTTTGCCCATATAACAAACACTTATATCAGTGCCAGTCTGAAACACTTGAACTCGAGAAGTAGCATCATCGAAAGGTTTATGATTTAGTTTCCAACGTCGGGCTATCTTTTTTTTTCACCATCAGTTATCTCACAGTACTGCTACCCCTTTGTATGATATAATCTATATGATAAACCAAATGAGGGGGACCTTTATTGAGGTAATTTATCACCCTACACACACAAAAAAAAGTGGCATACTATAACGAAGGGACCGTGAAAAAACCTGGTATATGTTGAGTTTGGCCTTTGTTGAGTCGTAAAAGGTGAAAGTCTCTTCTAATGAATCATGTTGTACACTAATTTCTGCAGTGTGATCCTCTAATTCCTGCCAGCCGATAGAACATGGATATGAGCACCATTGAGACCTCGTGAATAGCAGAGCCATCAACTCGTCGTTGCAAAAAAAAGAGTTAAAAATGGTGAGATAACAAAAAATAATATACCTTCTTCAGAGCCATGATTAATGGCTCGTTCTTCGAGAGAAACGGTGCCACCCTAGGGGTTTGCGACAAAAGATCCAACCACGATCTGACATAAAAGGGATTTACAGCTAAACTACTGTCGTCAGCAAAAATCTGAATGTCTTTCCCTTGGTGACCATATATATGCCTCTGCATTAACAAGAAAACATGAATTGATTGCAGAAATAAAAAAAAAGGCCAAATACGCAAGTAGAGAACATTATAAAACTTTTGCTTGCACTGAAAATCTAATGATATTTTGTGGACGGATCTCATCCCATGCTGAAAACATAAATTTTCAGATGCCATATCCATTGGATAAGAATCTCGCTTTAAAGTTTAAACAACAAATGCATCACATCTATCTACATAAAAGGTAACTAATTCTCTGGTATTTGAGGGATTGCCTTACCGCAAGGCTTTCAGCCACCAATTTGGCACCCTTAACAACGGCCTCTTCATTCACGAAATGCCTGCAGTGACAAAAAGCTCTAAGCAATTTCAAATCTAGAGGACAACGGAAAGTTCATGGAGAATATAAGTTCAAAGTTCAATATCGAGTCAGATTCTATGAAACAGGTGTTCGGTGAAAGCACAACCTTGTGTCAAACAGTCCTCCAGTGTTTTCCAGCAAGTCAGGTGGAGCAGAAAGTTCGGAGAGAGTGGCAGCAGTTACCCTGAGTCTTGAAAACTGTTCATGTTCCCAAGCTACCTAAAATACTCAACAGCACAAATTCGCTCAGATAAGCTAATAGTTGAGAGTAGAGGAAGAAAAATAACACACATGCAAAACTTAGTATAGACACATATCTCAAGTAACCATTACAAGTGAACAGAAGGGTAGAGGGTGGTGAGGAACAAGATCATGCAACAGAACAAGTTAGATTGTAATCGAGATTTAGCACCCAGCAAAGTTAAAGGACGTTTATCCACTGTCTCAACTTTCAATGCTTGACACTAGGAACAAAGTGATATAGTAAAAACCACAATCTCTTTCCGGTAATGGTAGATGTATAGAATTTCAAGACGCTATGACAGTTTCCTTGATAGTTTAGCAGCCAGTTCAGCACTTTTTGATTTTCCAGAATAAAGACAAAAAAGAGTAAAAAGGAACTAAGACAATGCAAGGGCTCATATAGCACTGTAACAATCTAATGTAGAAAGCATCAATCATAAAGTTCATGAACTCACTCGGGGATTAGAGATGTTAATCTTCTTGTGTTTCAGACCAACTTCAAAACCCAACTCTTCAGCTACATTAGAGAAACCCTGCAGAGATCCGATCATTAACCCGTTGATACCCATCATGGTTTGCAATTGCACAGATACATCACAATCCTATCAATTACCTCGAAAATCTGTTTTACATAGGCGTTTTCTGGAGGCTTTGACACATGGAGCAACAATTCATTGTCCCAAGAACCAATACTGTTTAAGCATATGGCATAATCAATACTTTCACGCATCCTCTGATCAAGGCTCTTCAGCCACTGTATAAAATATGACATTGAAAAATACAACAATAAGATTGCAGAAGATGAGAAAGCAATTAAAAAGCGGGAACAATATGGCTTCATGTACAATGAAAAGGAAAGTATAGTACCTTTCGTGTTCCATCATAGTTGTATGGTCCACCAGATGTCAATGCAAAGAGTAGATTGTATCTCCCTCTCGTTTTAGGGTTCGAGTAAAGAATAGAAAACAATCTCGCTATTTCAAGAAGCACCACAACACCACTGCCATTGCTGTCACTTCCAACTGATAATGCCTGCACATAAAGGTTAATCAGACTGATGTGTGATGCTTACCATGAAAATAAGAATATCGACTATCCATATTGCATACAGGAGCAGCTCCAAACGTATCATATGATGCAACTACAGCAATTGTCGGAAGCTGACTGGAATCTCCATCTGCTTTTGATCCTGGTAACCATCCCTACACAAAAACAAATTTCTCTCAGGCTTTCTGTATGTCAATTATCAACAAGCAAAGAGGATCAACATGAGACACAGAGAGTGAGAAGCCACACACATATCTCCAGACTCGTTATCTAACTAACAAATGCATACACAGATTAAACCCAGGCTAAAAAATAGATTTGCGACAAATGGAACAGCTTAAAATGATCATAGAAGACAAAGGTGACAAATTTGTGATGAATAGCAAATAAATACTCAGAATAGAAGAGGAACAACTGCATCGTCATTCGTCAAAAAATAGAATGGAGGACGTAATGGCAAAAAAGATACTACTCCGACCTAGACTGTCAAAAAGAAGAAGCTCAAAGCTTCATAATAACTCAGCTATCTAAAAGCTGTCATGCTAACCTTAATTACCATAAAATAGAGTTAGTCGTGAATCCGTGATTCCCAAAACAGAATCAGCTAATAGTTAAAATTCAGTTATTACCTGAATATTTGTGATTGTGGGAGACACGATTTTCTTGGGCTCCGGTACAGAGATAACAAGCTTATATCTGAAAATATTAATGAGAAAAATGATCCCGTATATACTGAAAGAAGAGTTCCTAGATAAAGCATATACTTTCACCTCCTGGAAAAAAATGAACGATATCTAACGAATACCCCAGTATCACTACCATGTAGATAGAGAACTCAAGACTAGTACGACATTGAATAAAGCTTCAGTGTTTTAGCCGCTTCAGGCTAGATAAGCTGATAGACTAAGCGACTAATGGCATTATATTTTTTTTCCAAAACAGAAATGTCTGCCATAATGAATATCTATGCATATAATGGCATGACAGTTACAACAGATTCAGGAAATACGTAATTTCACTAACCCTCCAGTAGTTGCAGTAGCATGCTGACCAAGTGCATCATTCTTTACTACATCGGCCAACACAGCATCAGTCTCTTCATTCTCAAATGCAAAGTACACTGGATACTGAAACAAATAATAGATGGTTAGTACAAAGGCTACACGCACAACCATGCTATATAAATAAAAGAGATTGTTGCAGTCAAATCAAACTAACACGAATGGCAAAAGTTTTTTTAAAAAAATGAAAGAAAACCAAACTCACAGCTATGCTGCCATGTATGAGTAACTTCTCGAGTTCAGCTAACAATTTCCTGAACCCCTCTGTTTCAAAGAACTGACTGCTACTGCCACTAGTTTCAGGGCTAAACGTCTGAGGAAGCAAAATTAACAATCCCCCAAGTGACTGCTTTTGAGAAATGTAATCTGCCGTCATCTTTACAGAATTAGTAACCCAACAGAAAAGCAAAAGAATAACAAGTAACAAACTCAGAAAACGAAACTAAGAAACTAGATCTTGATTAGAACACAAAAAGTATTATGTTGTCACAATAAAATCTCGAGAATATAACACAGTGCAATCACATACGGAAGTAGAACTAGCAAAAATAACCACACCAATGAGCTTGATACATGTTTCTTGAGTAACAACAAGCTACAATACTTCCAACTAATATAGATTAATCAAATTTGGAAGGTCGAAATTAAATTAAAGCAATTCTACATTCCCAAAGCAAAATATAATTGATCTTCACAGCAAAACCGGTGATTTATACATCCTAAACTGTGGGCATAGCAAAAGAGGTAGAACGCTCCAAAACTAGAATTCTTTCAGACGAAGCGTAAAAAAACAAAAAAAAAAAGGGAAAAAAACAGGTAAGTGAAAAGCTTTGTGGATCGACCAAATTCGCCTCCCATCATTGATAACTTCATCGGAAAGATGATCATAGAACTGAGGTTACTTTTCAAAATTTATCCCAATTCAGCTCATCAACTATAAGACAAAAAACCATAGGAATTCGACCCATAACAAAAACAATTTAAGAAATCGTCATCAATCAAAATCACAGGACAGGACACATACAACCCCACACCTTTGGGATCCAGATTTCAACTCAGCTTCTTAACTCCAAATATTCATCCAAAAACGAAATCGACCATCGATAGTACCAACAGTAGTACCTCGGACGAACCCCACGTCGAGCTCCCGGAACGGGACGAGGAGAACGGAGCGGGAGAGATCAGCGCCGCGCTGGAAGCTGAGAGAGGCGGCGTGGTGGTTGAGCGAAGCAAATCGGGAGCCAAAGGGGACACCGGAGATGTCGTACTGAATGAGACGGTATACGTCAACGACGGTGGCGGCATCACAGAGCTCGACGCAGGCGACGAGGATGAGCATTAAAGCGATGACCGGATACATGGACTCCAACACCATCGCTCGATGACGCAATCTCTGTATCGGTTTCTTCTCCTCCGCCATCGTTGGTCCTTGTTATCGGGATCTAGGGTTTTGGGATACTGGAAGAAGTAGAGATCTCGGATTTGATGTTTTTTCAAGTGTTTTATAGAGTAATTAGTCTCAGCGATCAGTAGATTACACGTGGTTTTTTTTTTGTAATTTCCAAATTAAATAATTGATCTTTGAAGCTTTTATTTTATCTTCTATTTGACATATTCGGGCTTTTCGGAATAAAAAATAGGTGTAAAATAAAATACATAAATAGTGAGATAATGATTAATGGGTTTAAAAAACCAGATTTGTATAATTTTTTGTTGTTACAATCATTAGTAGAATTATTAGTATACACAATGCTCAAACTAATGATGACATTATTTTTGGTAGAATTTTCCAAACTAACTTCCAAATAATAATACTAATAATAAATTTGTCAAAAAATAATCTAAAATCTATGATTTCCATTATTGTATACAGGGAAATCACAAATGCAAAAAACACTCTATATCTAATTACAAATGCAAAAAAGATAAATATAGAAGTGGAGAAATTATTATTACATAAAATAAAAAAAGCGGGGAGAGCTAAACGACGCCGTATTCGTTATTTCCCCCTAGCTTACAGATCAGACAGCAACAACACTCTGCATGCCAAGCTCCATTCAAGAAGCAGCTCCAGATTCTGCCTTTTGCCCTTCAATGCGTATATACAAAAAATGCGTCAAGAATTTGGATTTGGTACAACTAAAATTCACACGAGGCGGTTTTCCTTGTGAAAACCAGAAATGTTGGGTTTATCTTTGCAGGGTTTCGTTCTGGATTCCATGGAAAGCTCTTGGCCTTGGAACTGAACTTTACACTGATCACTCTCTTGGGGGTTATTCGTTTTCCGGAAAGACGAACATAAGATCTTGATTGTCTCTGTACACTTGAACAAGGGCTGCGGCTTTATGGACAAACATACCCACCATAGCAGGAACAATCTGTGGAGAGAAAAGATGTGGCCAGAATTAGGTAAAGGGCTCGTCAAGAACCCGTGGAAAGAATCCAACTTTTTGCAGTGAAATACCAAAAGAAGGTTTAAACATAAAAAAGGGATATTGAAAAACTGCTTTCAGGAACCATTTCACAGGACACACTAATCATTTCCGAGTTTTAGGACATAAGTCGGAAGGTACCCATCTCAAGTTTCCAACCGATCTACCAAAGCCACGGGACAAGAACCCGACTTTTTGATGTCTTACACTAATCGAAATGCAAGAGGTGAAAACTTTTTCGAGAACAAGTGGAGGGCTCCGACTTTTTTCTGCTAAACACCAAGAAGAAAGATTATACTTGTCAAGAACAGGCAAAATATCTTTTATTCGTAGCTGTGTCTACCTGAAAATCGAGGAAGTCTGATACGTCCTTCTCAGCTTATGTAAGGAAGAAGAAGGGTAAATTTGGCAATCCAAGTGGAGCTGCTGACGTGGAGAATTAAGGAAGGGAGCTGGAGGTTTGCAGAGGAAAAGCTGGCAGGTGGTTGGGTGCGTGTGCTCGAGCAGTTTTATTATTCCCTTTTCATAGTATGTAACTAATTCTGTTAGCTAGGGCGATTCCTTGCACAGCCTGATGGAATATCTATATATAGATATACAGTAAGAGGGGGTCTTCTTATGCTTATTCTGGTATGGTTTTGTAAGGGGAGGGGGTGAGAGAGAAGCTCACCAGAATCAACTTCTCGGGTTGTATTGGATTTTTCCAGATTCAATACAAATATCGGTTCGGTTTACATCTCTGTTCTACCAATTTTGGTATCAGAGCACTTTTCGATCCAAAAATGTTAGAAACTCATGAACAACGAAGGGAACGGTGGTGTAGAATAGAGGAAATGATGCAGAAGTTGTGTTTGTTGAGAAACATCGAGACTTCGGTGGAACACTCCCCGAGTGTTTATGAAAATGCTGAACTGGAGATTGAAGTTTCGGTGGAGAAATCACCGATGGTTGAAGATCACATCGAACCGGTGGCAGATTTACAACCAGATCGTCAGCACGAGCAACATTTTTCTGTGGAGGAGATACCGAGGAGCCACAACCTTGAAGATCCGGTGCGAAATCAGCAGGATCAAGATGTGGAACCGACATCGAAGGGTGCGATGGAGCAGAAGGGGGTTCAGCAAAACCCTAGGGAGCTCAAATCGATGGATCTACATGGCGATGCAGATCGGGTTGAAGGGGCTAACCTCGAGACTCTGCATCAACTCCACTCTGACATCGACGGCGTCTTGGATTCCCTGCCGGTGGAGGAGAGACTCAAAGAGAAACTCAGTTTGATGGCAGACGCGAGGCAAAACGGTTCGCTGCGGCGGGATGCGATGCCAAGTCAGGATGAAGAGTCGACGTCGACACCGGTGTCCAAGGTGTCGGGAGTTCAGGATCCTCCGCCGGACCCTGGAAAAAATCCAGCTGACGATGATCCATCGCAACAGGATCCAATTCATGAGATACGAGACGATGAGGTTACAGATTCCGTCCGTCTCCTTCACTTTACCAACACCTGCGAATCGCAAGTGACGAAGGTGGACATGCCGGTTTTTGATGGCGACAACGTCACCGGGTGGATCGCACGAGCGGAAGAGTACTTTGAACTTGGTGGCTGCTTTGTGGTTGACACATTCTGTCGCGCAAAATCCATTATTGTTGGTCCGTTTGTTTCCGACGTGTACATGTGCAACACCATGATAGATATGCATGTGAGATGCAAGTGTTTGGATTGCGTGCATAAGGTGTTCGACGAAATACCTCAACGCGCCTTGATCTCAGAGTGTCATTTTTTCGGAGAGGCTGAAACACTCTGTATCGTTTCCATGCGCATCAATGGCAAGGTTTTGGCGTGGTACGATTGGCAGATGGGCAGAAGGATATTTAACAGTTGGAACGACTACAAGCTGCTTTTGTTTGAGCGTTACGGAGACGTTCGATCAGGTACTGGTAGCAATTGCTTATTCACTTTACGCCAAAATAACTGTATCAGCTATTATCTCCAGGACTATAAAGAACTATTGGCTCAGTTAACAGAGACTGATGACCATATTCTCGAGAGCACCTTCAAAAATGGCTTGCAACCTGAAATCAGAGATTTCAGCACTGTATTCCAACCCAGTGGCATGGATGATATCATCGATTGGGCATTACAATTGGAGAATAGTACTATATGTTCTCCTGGAGAGGGGTCAACAAGGGCTGATGTCAGATCCTCACGTGCTGGGTTTTCTCCACCAAGTAACTTTCGCATGTTCACTTTACCAGCTTCGGGGAAACGCATCGTACCTCGTTTGAGTTCCCCTAAGACCACCGTGAAGCCTGGGGCGACTCCGACCCGATCGACGGAGGAGTCACAGTCTCTTCGTCGGCTGTCCGATAACGAGGTGGATGATAGACGTCACCGAGCTCTTCGCTTTCGTTGCGATGAAAAGTATTATGTTGGGCATCGCTGCAAACACAAAGAACTTCAGGTAATCCTTGTCCAAGTATCAAGTGAAACAGTGATGGAGGATGAGGAATTCTGCAACCTGTCAGTGCCGGTTCCTCAGGAGGGGCCTGAACGAGCGGAACTGTCGATGAATTCCGTCGATCTGACATTGTCGATAACAATGAAGGTACTAGAAGCGAGTGACAATCAGCAGGTGGTGATGTTAATCGACAGTGGGACAACCCACAATTTTCTCTCTGTTGATGTCATTACCAAATCAGGGTTGATGTCGATCCCTACTACTAGATATGGCGATCGTTGGGGCACAGGGCTCACGGTTCAAGTTCCTCACACCATTGAACTCGACGAGCCGACCAAGGAACTCGAAACCGACTCAGTCACATGGGCTTTTAACTCTCGATTGCTGCAAGGAGGAAACGCCGGCGTTCTTAAGACTCTCAACCGAATTCAACTCTTGTTCCATTGGTCGGGTATGAAGGGAGATATCCAACATTATGTGGTGGCATGTGATGTTTGTCAACGCCACATGTATTCTATCTTGGCTCCAGCTGATCTCCTTGAACCTCTTTCAATATCGACTATAATTTGGGAGGATATTTCGATGGATGTCATCAAGGGGCTACCAAAATCTAATGGCTACACTGTGATTCTTGTGGTGGTTGATCGCTTTAGTAAGTATGCCCATTTCATTTGTATGCGGCATCCTTTCACTGTCGTCGATGTCGCAAAGCTGTTTGTACAGGAAGTGGTCAGACTCTATGGATTTCCGACATCAATAGTTTCAGACCGTGACAAAGTGTTTCTAAGCCATTTTGGGCGTGAACTGTTGCGTTTGTCCGGGACTTCACAGAAATTTAGCACGACATTTCACCCTCATTCGGTTCGCCAGTCGGAAGTTGTGAATCATGGGCAGGAAACCTACCTTCGCTGTTGCGTATATGATCATCCTCGGAAATGGTCTTCCTTTGTGGCATGGGTGGAAATTTCTTACAACACCGCGCATCATTCAACCATCCAAGCCTCCCCTTTTCGTGTTGTTTATGGTCGCAATCCGCTGGCGTTGTTATGTTTTGAATCAGGACTCAACTTGGGAACTTGCACGTGACTTCAGCTAGCAATTACCGGGATTTCAGCTTGAGGACAAGCTGAGTCTTTGGGCCCGGGGTATTGTTACGTCCTTCTCAGCTTATGTAAGGAAGAAGAAGGGTAAATTTGGCAATCCAAGTGGAGCTGCTGACGTGGAGAATTAAGGAAGGGAGCTGGAGGTTTGCAGAGGAAAAGCTGGCAGGTGGTTGGGTGCGTGTGCTCGAGCAGTTTTATTATTCCCTTTTCATAGTATGTAACTAATTCTGTTAGCTAGGGCGATTCCTTGCACAGCCTGATGGAATATCTATATATAGATATACAGTAAGAGGGGGTCTTCTTATGCTTATTCTGGTATGGTTTTGTAAGGGGAGGGGGTGAGAGAGAAGCTCACCAGAATCAACTTCTCGGGTTGTATTGGATTTTTCCAGATTCAATACAAATATCGGTTCGGTTTACATATCTGTTCTACCAAAGTCATTTTGGAAATACTTGTGAGAGAGTGCCCACAAAGCGTATATTGCAGC